TTTTGAACAAGAAAGTATATCCATCAAATTAGAGTTTTTAGATTGTTCAGCCAAAAGAAGAGACTGCAGGAAGACAACCAATTAAAAAAATACTCCACTAGTGCAGGCATGAGCCAATGATGACGTGGAAGAGGAAGACAACAACGGGAATGAAAGAGGACAGAGCAAGAGATATTATAGTATTCCATCCACCTTAAGCACCCAGAAATACGAGAGAAAAAGCTAAGAGGAATATGAAATATCAAGCCTCAGAAAGAAACTAATTTGAATGAAGAGGAATTTAGATTTGGACCTCAGTATGAGGTATCTGTAAGATGAAATTCAAATCCAACAGGCAAGTGTAGGTCCTAGTCTGAGGGTCCTGGTCCAGGTCTCTCACCAAAAATATGGTAATTTCTAAATGTTTCCATAGAATTTTCCAAAACTATTCAGAATATTATTTACTGAATTGGTAAACCAATTTACTCTCTATAGTCATCTATTTCCATTCACTGATATAGGAAAATACCAGAATTGGAAATTTACATTTTGACGTTCTAGAGATACAGAAAAATAAAAATAAAAATAAAATTTCATTATCACATTTAAAGAAAGAACAGCCGGGAGTGGCGGCCCATGCCTGTAATCACAGCACTTTGGGAGGCCAAGGCAGGATGATCACTTGAGTCCAGAAGTTGAACACCAGCCTGGGCAACATGGTAAAACCCCACCTCTACAAGAAACACAAAAATTAGCCAGGCATGGAGGTGCACGCCTGTAGTCCCAGCTATTTGGGAGTGCTGAGGCCAGAGGATCATTTGAGCCCAGGAGGTCAAGGCTGCAGTGAGTCAGGATTACACCACTGCACTCCAGTCTAGGTAACAGACTGAGACACTATCTGACAAATAAATAAATAAATAAGAAGAGGGGAGTTAGTAAGGACAAGAGAAGAGCATGGTTTAAAAACATTAAAGCAAAATATACTGTCACAATTTCAAATAATCCAGCAGTAAGTTAACATGTATAGATATACACATAGTGAAATATAATAGTAAGGAGAATACTAAGGGGACTTAGCTATTTGTTTTATTAGTTTAACAGCAACAACAAAAAAAAACTTTTTAAAGTGCCTGAAGTAGAAATGTCATTATTTCCAAAATGAAAGAAATGTGTTCAAAAAAAAAAAAAGAGGCAGCAAGTTAGATTATGCTGTCACGTAAAAAACATTTACATTCAACTAATTATTCTAAAATCTCTAAAAACCATGTTCTCTAGTTTTGAAGTCATCACTAAAAATAACTGGAGAATATGGGAACATTATTTTATATACTCTTCAACCTCCCCAACAGGATATGCTTTGGGATAAAAATAAATAAATCCCTCTGACATATAAACTATACAAACCCACAGCTATTTTAAGATGCCCTTGACTGAGGCTGACACCCTCTAGGTCCAAATCATTGATTTATCAACTCCAGCACTAAATTTCTGATTATCTGTCAAATGCAACTCCTCCCACACACTTGTTTTGGCTCATAACAACAATATTTCATTATGAAAACCAGAGCTGCAAACAAAATGCTCCATCCAAATAAAATGTTTCTGGCTCATAAAGCCTGGCACAGTCTCCTGATCTGTCCCCCATGAAAACTGCCTTAAGGTCTCTATAAAATAAAGATTACATCAGGCCACACACATCACACTGAACAAATAAATAAAATGCCCACAAATCTAAAGAGCATAGGAGTAGCGGTCATCTGAAGCTAATTATGCTACTCTTTCCATTAGCACAGCTCATATTTAGTTACTCAGCATTCAGCCAAAACACATTTGCTGAGTTGTAATTGTGGCAGACACTAAGGATAAAAAGACAAACAAGACAGAGTCCATCCCCGTCAAGGGAGGGCCTGTGAAGCAGCCAGATAGGGAAGCAGAAACAATAACACAATCACTGCCCTAATAGAGTTCTTATTGCTGAGCTGCTATGGATCCACAGAAGAAATGCCAATAGTCTGTTCTGTTTAAAGAGGAGTGCAGGAGTTCCAGGAAGGCTTTACATAGATGGACACAAATGAGTTTAAGCCTGAGAAAAGAATGAAGAAGCATTTGCCAGGCAGGAAGCAGAAGAAAAAAATACCTTACACTTTAGTGTAAAGAACTAGATATTTTAGTAAATCTACTTCCTTTTAATGTCGAGAAAATACCTTACACCTTAGTGTGAAGGAACAAGATATTTTAGTAAATCTACTTCATTTCAGTGTCAAGAAAATGTATAAGATGATATATATTAGCATGTTTAATAAAGAGGCAAACACACAAATGCTGAGTGACAGAGCTGAAAACAGAGCCCCGGATCCCCATGTTTTAAACTACTCCCCACTGCTATTTAATAATGGTTACAGACTTTATAATCTTATAAAAGGAATCACTTTGAAGCTAGACTTTTCATAAGAGCATATTGCTGAACTCAAAGTGGGACATGTATTGATTCTAAAAACAAACTAAATATTACCCCTTTTAAAAACATTAACATCAGGCTGGGCACAGTGGTTCACACCTGTAATCCTAGCACTTTGGGAGGCTGAGGTTGGCAGATTGCTTGAGTCCAGGAGTTTGAGGCCAGCATGAGCAGCATGGCAAAACCCCATCTCTAAGGCAAGAAACACAAAGATTTTGCCAGGCATGGTGGCACATACCTGTAGTGTCAGCTACGGGGGAGGCTGATCACCTGAGCCCAGGGAGGTGACAGCTGCGGTAAGCCATGACTGTGCCACTGCACTCCAGCCCGGGAGACAGAGTGAGACCCCATCTCAAAAAAACTAAAAAAACACTAACATCAAAAGAAATATCACCCTGACTTACGTTTTAATCATTAATAAGAATCATTCCTATATTAATATAAGACTAAAAATTATTTAGTTCATAATAGTCTGTATTAGTAGGGTGAGGGAAAATAGACACTGTGATACACACAGAACTGATGAGAATGCAACTTGATACAACTTCTGTGAACCACAATATGGACTTAGTAAACGACATTACTTACAAGACTGACTATTCACTTCAGCACTGTCAGTAATAGCCAAAGACTGGAAGTAACCTAAATATTCATCAATCAAAAACTAGTTAAGGTATATCAATAAAGTATGGCAGTTGAGATAAGCATTTACTTCAGCAAAACACTTGAGAAATGATGATGAACCTGACTAGGGTACTGGCAAGTGAACAGAAGTGGACAGAGTCCACAGCGAGACCAGAAGTTCATAAATTGGATTCAGGTGGGAATTCAGGTAGATGGTGGAGTGAAGAATTAGAAAGCAAATCACTCAAAAGCTATAAAGCATAGACCTAGGGTTTCATCAACAATTTATACACAATGCCTAGGCACTAAATATATGTGTTAAATGAATAAAAATGTTATAGTTGGCGGCAAAAATATGAAGAAAGAAATTTATACTAACAACGAGAAAAGTATACATTTGACTATGACAAAACACAGCTCTATCATTTGAAAAAGAAAACAAAATGCTACTTAGTACAACAACTGTTTGGGGGAAAAAAGACAAAAAAGACTAAACTGTCTCAGACCACAAGTTTTGAAGAACAATATTCAAAGCCCAAAGCCCAACCCAGCATATGCTATAAACTGTGGTTATTTCAAAACTGCTGGGGTGCTTCCTAATTGTGGTGTAGACCCTGGTAATCTATCGCTGAGTGACTTTTCTTTTTTTTTTTTTTTTTTTGAGACGGAGTCTCACGCTGTTGCCCAGGCTGGAGTGCAGTGGCGCGGATCTCGGCTCACTGCAAGCTCCGCCTCCTCGGTTCACGCCATTCTCCTGCCTCAGCCTCCTGAGTAGCTGGGACTACAGGCGCCCGCCACCGCGCCCGGCTAATTTTTTGTATTTTTAGTAGAGACGGGGTTTCACTGTGGTCTCAATCTCCTGACCTTGTGATCCGCCCGCCTCGGCCTCCCAAAGTGCTGGGATTACAGGCTTGAGCCACCGCGCCCGGCCCTTTTTTTTTTTTTTTTTGAGACGGAGTCTCACTCTGTCGCCAGGCTGGAGTGCAGTGACGCAATCTCGGCTAACTGCGACCTCTGCCTCCTGGTTTCAAGCGATTCCCCTGCCTCAGCCTCCTGAGTAGCTGGGACTACAGGAGTGTGCAACCACGCCCAGCTAATTTTTTTGTATTTTAGTAGAGACGGGGTTTCACCATGTTGGCCAGGATGGTCTCCATCTCCTGATTTTGTGATCTGCCCGTCTCGGCCTCCCAAAGTGCTAGGATTGCTGAGCGATTTTTCTAGACATTGTTCTACTTCCATACCAAAAGCAAAGTGAGATCAAGCCCTGGTATAAAGATTATTTGGTTGGTGCAAAAGTAACGGAGGTTTCTGTCATTATTTTCAATGGCAAAAACCACAATTACTTTTGCACCAACTTAATAATACCTGATCTTCAAGCACTGAAGGTTTACTGAAGTGGGGAGGGGGAGGATCAAGCTAAGTGCTCCCTTAAACAGAAGACTTTCTGCAACCTGCCCCAGACTTTAGAGCTGAGATGATGCCTATTTACAGGAGGTTTATCAATAAAGTGTTTACTTCAGTTGTTCATATTGAAAGGCATTATAAATTAGCAGGCAAACCACTCTTCAAAGATGATAATACGAGTTCCAAAAAAAGTTAAAACATACACATATTTTGTTTTGTATCATAAAAGTCACCAAATATTGACATTAACTGAAAAACATAAGGTTTTAAACAAAAGAAATGTTGACATGGTAATCAATGGAATCAGTTAAGTTCTGAAATATATTTAATCCAAAAATTTCCACAATTTATACCAAATTTTCAAATTAATAATCTATTCCAAAAATTACATGATTTGATCAACATTCATCTAGAAAACATTTATAAATTTATATCATAATCAAATTAACAAGCTTCCAAATGTGTATTAGACAAGCTAACTGCAACCAGTCAGGAAAACCCAAGGAAGCAAAAATCAATACAATCAGTTCTTTACCTGCAGCTCCTTCGAGACTCTCTCTAAGTGATTAGTTATCTTTTTAATCAGATCACTATACATCTGTTCCGAGTGCTGCTGGCATACACATTTATACACACAACTGTAAAACAAACAAAAACCCCCACAAACCAAGTTAATCATAAAGCACTTAACTCAGACCAAGTTTTTAAAGCACACTTTTGATATATAGCCACAGATCCAATAATTCACACCTTCAAAAAGTAACCAATCACAACTTTTAAATAAAAAATTCATCCTCCCCCATCAGTGTTCGGATGGAAAAGATAGTACCATCTGCTGTCAATATGCTCTTCTAAGTAGTGTATTACACATTTAATCAGTACTAGATAATCTAACATTAGGTGAGAATCTAAGGTCTGAATATGATAACTACTTATAAACCAGGTTCTCTCTCTCTTTAAATGAATGTCAAAATAAGGAAGAGAGAGTGATTGATAATCAGTAAAGAGAGGTTTCTAACTCACGGAAGTGTTTGCAATACAACGTCTTTGTACATCAGCTGTGTGGAACAACATACTTGCCACTTCCTCCTTTCACTGTGCTGATCTCATATCCCACCCCACTTCCTAATTTGCTGCTTCCATTTACCAAAAGCTGGGAAACAAAATAACCGAAGAGAGTTAGAACTGCATGTCAATAAACACCAACAGATTAAACTAAGGTCTCCCTCTGAGACTAAAAATACAATTTTTATGCCAGATACTTCAGTCATTCTTGCTTTTATTGCTGACTTCCACAGTGTCTGCATTATGTATGGTGGAGGTGGCAGGCTTACTCTGTCATAATTTGAAAACCACTTTTCAATCAAAAAGTATAAACCAAACTCTCCAATCCGTAAGCGTGGAATACATAAAACACTCACAGAGCCTCATCTTTCGTTTTCTACATTACATATTTGTGTGCAGAATAATTCAAGTGCCCTGAACCTCGGTACACCCTTTCAAACCAAAGCAAATTAAATCTTGACTTACCTGTATATCTGTTCATAGGATATGGGGATATAGTCACCAGGACTCTGAGTTAAAAGTTGATCTATGGCACCATCCAATTTTGGCCAGTATGTGCTCTTATAATCTTCAATAGTTATAACATTCATTACTAAAAGTAAAAAGTAAAATAAATATTACTACATGCTATATGTGCAGCAAACACAAATCACAGCCATTTTGCACTCTCAAATTCCTCTCACTTACTCTTCTGCTTTTACACTGACACTCTATCACCTGACTCTCCTATTTCAATTAAAAACAAAAAAAGCAACCTGGTCAAGGATGTTAAGCAGCCATTAATCATGAGTTTAAGAGGAATTAGTATGAACCTGTCCATCTTTAAAAATAACAACCCAACAAGCAAGCATCACTGGTTTCCTTCTGGGTTTCCTGTAAGCCTCTGTCATCAGCGGAGCAGTCTCAAACATGCTCTGACCCTCAGATACACAGTCAATTATGTGACAAAATGACCTATCAATGAACCACAGGAAAATTCAGAGAAACTGTGAACACCAACAATCAATCTTTGTAGACATCCTTGAGGAAATGTACCTAAGGACAGGACTATGAGGATTAAGGTCCAAATGATGCAGTCACAAAGAGGTTGCTGGAAAACTTGCTGAGATTTACAATACCACCAGCACCTCTTCATCATTACTACAGCTCCAACTCAGGCTGCTACTATCTTCAACTGGATAAGCCCAACAGAAAAGAAGTCAGTGAACTGGCACCCTGTGCTGAGGCTTACTTCACTCCTACAGACAGGCTCTTACTCCCACACTACAGGTTTCACAAAGCATTTGTACAGTGGATCCTAACAGCTTTGAAATCCAGGTAACAGTTGCTTCACGGCACTGAAATGTTAATATTTTAAAAAGAGCTACCAGAAGAACCTACCTATATTCTGTGTCATGAACCACAGTTACCTCAGGAGTAACAACGAGACCAGGTATTTCATTATTTTACCAGACTAGGAAGCAGAGAGGTTAAGTGACTCAAGAACACAAGACTCATTACTGTCAGAGATACCAGGTAAAACAAAGCCTTCCCAGCGTCTTTTTATCACATTATCGATTTCCACACCTTCGTCATCCAGGTTCCAGATTTTTTTCGATGTACCATCTATATCACTTTTGTTCAATACTTTCTTTAAATCGATTCACTTCTGTTATTTAATTTTATTTCATAGGACATCTGAGGAATGAACTACTGAGGAATGTTCACAAAACAGCATGGCATAATCTTAAATGCATTTTGCTAAGTCAAAGAAGCCAGACCCAAGGGCTACATAGTCTAAGAGTCCCACTTACATGATACTACTAAAGGCAAAACCACAGGGAAGAAAACAGATCAGTGGTCGACAGGGGCTGGAAGGTGGGGAGAAGGATTATCTATAAAGCAGTAGCATGAAGGAATTGTTATGGCAATTAACTGTCTTGCATGGAACTGTGGTGGGGGATACACCACTTCACGCATTTGTCAACACCAACAGAACTGTATATCAAATGACTATGCAAATTTTAAAAAAACCAACAAAGCTGTAGTGGTAAAGACAGAATGCAAAACACAACAAAACGAACCTAATTACAAATGAATCACATAACCCACACTGAAGGGAATGGTGAATAAAGGAGTGTTTTGACTAATGTAAAGCTAAAGACAAAAAGAATTGTACATGCATGTGCGCAAACATGCAGTAGGAAGAGGCCAGACCATGTAGGTCCTTATGGGCCATTGTAAAGACTTTGACTTTTACTCTAAGATGGAGGCCTCTCTGGAGGGTTTTGAGCAGAGGAGTGACATGATCTGGGTTAGGTTTTATATGGATCATTCCAGCAGCTGTGCTGAGAGTAAACTCAGTTTGGAGGCTATGAGCTGATATGGGATTGGGCCAGAGGGTGGCACTGAGGACAATAAGGAGAGGTCAGATTTTGAAGATATTTTAAAAATAGAGTCAACAAGATTCACTGATAGATTAGATGTGAGATGTGAAAGTAAGGTCAACAGTGGCTCCTCCAAAGCTTTTCGCTTGAGCACCGAAGGATGGGGTTGTCGTTTACTAAAATGAGGAAGACTGCACAATAAGCTTAGCTGTCCAGGGGGCATAGCAGATACTGTTGGTGCCCCACCCACCCATTTACCCCATCCATACCCTAAAGCTACTTCTCTCAGTGTTTTGTCCAGCTGCCAGAGCTTGCTCTGCTTGCAGAAGGAGCAGGTAAGAAATTGTGGGCGAATTAACAACCCCAGAGCAGACTTCAACCAATGACTACTGAAGATTCAGTGTCATTACCCCAGTAGCTCCCTCTCCTTTTGGGTGAGATGACTCTCAGGCCCCTGTGCTACACTGACTCCCAGAGCTCCTCACTGGTACTAAACTCCAGCTGTCTGCAGTGGTGACTTTACCTTACTGGCTTCCTTACCTTCCCTGTCTCACTTCCCCAATCCCCCTAGAGCTGCTTCCCAGCGTCACCCTCTTGCACTTGATACTGAAAAGTGTTACACACTAGCTCTAGAATATGACCTTTGTATTTCTGTAATCCTTAGGATTCAAAAAAACTGAAAAAGAAATTACATTCTATGTGATTCTGAGTTAGAGAATCCCTTATCAGTGTACCACCTAAACCACATGAAATAACTCTCTACACCAAAAGTTGAGAGTTGAAGCTTAGATAACATGCTCAAAAAGAAAACTACGAGTAGTAATGCCAGTAATTAATATACCAATCTCCTGGGCTCCTAAAATGCTTAGTTCAATAAACCACATGCTATGGCTCCATCTGGGAGCACTCCTACTTCTCAAGCACAGGCTTCGCACTTTCGCAAATCACCAAGTCAAAGATATGAAGAAACGGGGAAAAAGAAACCAAAATGTAAAGTCCTGTAGTTCTAAGTACAAAATGGGGACTCACTACAGAAACAGTGACTGCTGATGCTTTTACATATCTTTGAAAAGAGACTTTAAAACCAAATTGAAAAAGGCATGTGTCACAGTAGAGAATCTAAAACCCTATTTCCACACATTAAAAACAAAAGCTGTTTCTATTTCCACACATATTATTATATACAATACATATCTATGTTACCTGAATAACTAATAGAAAGCCAATTCAGTGACCTTACATGCTAGCTAACATTTCTTCCCAGGAAGGTTCTTCATAACAATCTGCAGTGAACACTTAAAATGACAATGCAGGAAACTTTAAGATACTTATTTACTTGCTTATCTCAACCCAATCCTTGGTTTAAAAAACAAAAACTCCTAGCTATTTGTTCAGTTTAACATCTGACACATACAGTCTCAGAGTGTGTGTGTAATCTTGAACTTAAAAACTAGATCCTTATATTAGAGATATGTAATTACTTTCAACTTTGCCCACAGAAAAGTTTACACTGACCAAAAGAAAGAGAAGGCCAGATGCGATGGCTCATGTCTGTAATCCCAGCAGTTTGGGAGGCCGAGCCAAGAGCAACGACTGTGCCCAGAAGTTCAAGACTACACTGGGCAATATGGTGAGACCTCACCTCTACAAAAATTTAATTAAAAAAAAAATTAGCTGAGCGTGGTGACGCATGCCTGTGGTCTCAGCTACTCGGGAGGCTGAGGTGGGAGGATCTTTTAAGCCCAAAGACCAAGGTTGCAGCAAGCCATGTTCACTCACACCCCTGTACTCAGTCTGGGCAACAAAGCAAGACTGTCTCAAAAATGAAACAAAACACAAAAGAGTAGCCAAAATTCATGCTATGTGTAGAAGACAGCTGATTTACTACTTTAAAATGGGAATGCTAAGATCAGAGCAGCATGATGAGATCTTAGGAGATCTGCAGGGCTGCCTATTTAGACAATACTTTTCAACTTTTTATTTCTTGATTTCTATAGTTCAGTATTAAGCCTGTTATTAGAAAATACATAAGCAAAAGGAGGAAATAAAAAATCACTCATAATCTCACCACCAGTATATTGTGGCTGTGCCAGTGTATTGTGCCAGTCTTTTCAATGTATATTATATGTGGCTAAAGAGTATATACAGACATCCAATGAACTAAAGAATTCCTTGAATTTTACTTTTTAGATAATTAACTAAATTCCTTTTCTGTATGTAATGAGCATTATCAGCAAGTAAGAGCCAAAATGAAAGTATGAAATCTAAACAAAATTAAGTTACCACTAAATTACTAAATTTCATCTAGGTTAGATTTTCAGCTTGAAAATAATGAACTACTTTTTAAGCTATTTAAAGAAGGCACTACAGGCACAAACACCTACAAGAGCCATGCTAATAACATAAACAAGTAAAGCAGGCCTGGTGCAAGAATAACAAAAGTGGTGAGGGCTTTATTGAACAGCAGAATGTGTGTTGCCCTCTAGAGGCACTGAAGTTCAAGAAATTTTAAAACACTTACTAAAAAAATGTAAAAACATCATGCCACAAGGCTTAAACCTAGAAACACATATTTATAAAATAACAAGCTCACACAGTCTAAATTCCACTGAGAAAGTAGTTTAACTGACCTTTACTAAGATAAAATGAAACCAAGTCTAAAACATATGGAATAGCTGGAACCTTCATTCAGGAAATATTATCGGGTTGCTGATAAACAGGAAACCATTAGAGGTCTATAATTCATACCAGGCAGGAATAAATATGTTCAACTCTTACACTTTTTTAATCCAAATAAGTTGACATATTATTTATTGTCAATCTCCCTCAAACTAGACGTAAGCCCCATGGAGAAGGAATTCACTGCTAGAACCCCAACTCTAAACAGGATATGACACCTGGTAGGTACTCAATAACATCTGTAAAGCGAATTAACTTAGTGAGGCAAAATAAATGCTGAACAGAAAAACAGTCTACAAGATATACTGCTTATTAGCTGTTTTGGAATTAAAGCTTAAATCACATGTGATTTCACACAGGCTAAAGCAAACCAGGTTAGCCCTACTATATAATCCTTTTAAGGTTTGTTTGTTTGTTTTATAAGGGAAGAATAAATTCAGAAATTATAGTAAGCATTATGAATTCATACTTGGTCTACTGTAGAGACTGATCATTACTTTCTATCAGTGCTTCCAAAGTGTAGATCCAGAGCAGCAGCGGCAGCATC